GAGGGGGGCGAGGGGGGGTGAGAGGGGCGAGGAGGGTGAGGAAGGTGAGAAGGGTGAGGAAGGTGAGAGGGGTGAGGAGGGCGAGGAAGGTGAGGAAGGTGAGGAGGGCGAGGAAGGTGAGGAGGGTAAGAGGGGTGAGGAGGGAGAGGAAGGAGAGGAGGGCAAGGAAAAGTGAGGAGAGTGAGAGGAGTGAGGAGGGTGAAAAGAGTGAGGAGGGTGAGAGCGGTGAGGAAGGTGAGGAGGGTGAGAGGAGTGAGGAGGGTGAAAAGAGTGAGGAGGGTGAGAGCGGTAAGGAAGGTGAGGAGGGTAAGAGGAGCGAGGAGGGTCAGAGGAGTGAGGAGGGTGAGAGCGGTGAGGAAGGTGAGGAGAGTAAGAGGTGTGAGGAGGGTGAGAGGAGAGAGGAGGGTGAGGAAGGTGAGAGGGGTGAGGAGGATGAGGAGCACCCCTCAGGGGGTTCGACAGAGGGGTGCGGGGCAGCAGGGGAACCCTCGTGAGGCTGTCGACGGTGAGAAAACCTTCCCTTCCCTTGGGGTTCAGTCACGTACAGCACTTCTGTCGGGATTGGTAAATTCTGGTGCTTTCCTGGCTGTTCATCAGGCGCTTTGCCACAGAGACAGGGCGTGCGCATTTTTGATAGCCAAAGGTACAAATGGTTATTAATTGTTTCTTTCATGACAGAAAGATTGACAGCCACTAACCCGTCCAAACAGAAAGTATTTACAAATCTTCCCAGGGCAAAAGCTTTTATTCGCTTATGCCAACTGGAAACCGTGTTGTAGTGGGGATTTGCTGCTGCTGGCGCAGCGCGGCCCAGCAGAGCTCACCTCTGCTCCCTGACTGCTCTGCGCTCCAGATTTCCCAAGTTCAGTTTCCATGAGAAAAGACCGGATATGCATATGGGTATATTGCAGGATCAGGGTAGCTGAAAAAGAATATGAGAAACTGAATTAAGCCCTTAATCTTAAATAGCTTTAAAAATTGTATTATTTCTTCTTTTCATTTGATTCGTGAGATTTGCGTCACAGCTTTAGAGCTTTCCTCAGCAGAAGAGCTAGCAGGTCAAGTCAGATTCCTTTGGATATTTATGGATTTTTTTTTGCTTGAAGCTCATGAGATCATTTCTATTGGAGCTGTGCACTAGCAATTGTAGGACCGTCCCTTTTTCTCTTTCCCAACAAAAGCCGTTCTGTTTCCCTATATTCCTTGTTTCCAAAAAGTAGGGCTTAATGAAGGCAATATGCACTCCTAAATATTTGCTCCTAATTGCATTGCAATTGGTTGTTACTGATAATCCTGCAGACAGGACAGTGGTGCTTCACAATTTGGCCCATATGTTTCTGTGCTTTGTTGTGATTAATCGTGAGATGTGTTGGAGGTAGGACTAATCTTCAAGAGTGCGGGATCTAGGCTAAATTCAGAGGTGGAGTCCATGAAGCAGCTAACTTCTTGAGAATTGGCCCTCTAGGACTGGGGACCTGCTTCGGAGAAATTGAGTGGTTTTAGAATCTTTTTAGTTTCTGGGTCTCCACAGGCTGCCAAGTTTCTAAATTTCATGTTTGGACCCTTCTTTGAATTAAGACATTCAGATGTTCAAAACCCACTTGTGTTTAATCTTTTAATCTAGAACTTCAGGTCTCAAATGCTGTAGCTACTTGTACTTAATCTCCCACATACCAACTGACTGATTTCTAGGTTACTTCTGTTACAGCATGGTAAGAGGAAAATAAGCCCTTTTTTTAAAAAAAAAAAAAAGGAATATGTTTATCTGCAATTGGTATATTAAGCCTGAGAAAATTATTGTGCAAAAATCTGTGGTGGTCGTAAGCTGTGTATCCATCCAACCTACCCTGGCCACATGCGGAGGATATGGTAGTCCTTCACGCTGGGCAGAGCGCTCCTGCCGTCTGCCCCGGCAGCAGCTGCTCCCTCCCGTCCTGGTGTGACATGGCCTCTCAGTCTGGAGTTCGGGCCCATACAGGCCCTTTCTGCCCACGGGGCTCCTGTGTACTGCTGCACAGAACTTGTAGAGCAGGTCAGGGATAATCAAAGTTTGTGGCTCCGCCAATGCTTATAACCAAAGGTCGGCCAGTGCCCTTCTTAGCGTGGGCTTATAGTCAGCCTTGAATGTGAACCGAGTCTGGCGACTGACCGGACTCTTCATTGATGCCTCACTGGTGAATGTATGACACAGGTTTGTCTGATTTCAGTTTATCGAGGTTTGGAAATGCTTCAGAAAAGCATAACCGGGTAGACCTTGGCAAGACATTCCATTTCTGAGTTCTCTTTGATGACTCATTCCAACAGCAATCTTTCACATTTTTCCAATGGCAATTCCAGACTTGCTCTCGAGGACCGATGTATTGATACCTGTTGTGTTAGAAGAAGATCCACCACTGAAACAGGCAGCTGGAATTGAAGAACTTGAAAAAGAGCTAGAACTGTCTGTATTTTTCAAAGCCAATGATTATTCAGTTAAGCTCAGTAACAGACTCTTCTCAGGTTAGAAGAGAATTCTTCTGCATTTTGAATCACGGTAAGGATTAAACTTGGCCCAATGCCTTGTCTTAGAAGGTGGCTGGAGATACATGCATGAATCCAAACCACGTAAGTACAGGCTCCAGAAGAAGAGGTGAAGTTAAGCAGGTAGCTTCCATGAAAGGGTTTCAGATGCATGAATGTAACTGGTAAGAAAGCGTCGCGTTAGTCTGCATGAAGTACTGACTGAGATTTGTCTCTAGGCATGAACAGAAAGTCCTTTAACACAGACTAACAGTAGCTGTCAAACAACACAACAAACCTTCAATAGGTGAATAAGACATGTGCTCATCCTGCAAGACTTCTAGGCAATACTTACCTACCTACCAAAAGCAGACACTCAGAAGGAATGTGTTACACCATCACAGCATCTTCTGTGCCCTTGTCATCCCTGTTAGCGGTAGACGTATGGATGAGATGCTAGCGCTGAGCACGTTGTTTGCTCGCTAATTTGTGCAGATACACCGACCTCCTAGATATGGTGTAAATTGAGAAGCAGGGCCACAGGTCTCCATTAATTGTGCTGAAGCAATGAGTTTATATCTCCCGTCTTTCATGTACCAGCTATGTGTGTATGTTTGACGTCATTGCTGTGATCAAAACCACTGTAACAATGCAACATTGAAACTCTGTGCCAAGAGGTGTTTTCATAACGTACCGCTTGGGCTTTTGTAAGCATCGGTTTTGTGGCACTCTGAGCTCTCTAAATACCTAGGATCCTGTCAGGAGTTCTGGCTGATGCGAAGGTGAATAGCCAGACTTTGTCTTTGCTCTGCGTTTGGCTTAGGGAGAAGTCAAGCCTTCCCAGGCTGTTGTACTGCAAGTCAGTTGCTTAGAATAACCATGCGGTGCAAGAAGGATTGTTTTCTGTAGTGTCACACATACTGCTGAGTCTTGGGCATTACCTCTGAGGATCTTCACATTGTTCAATACAAAGACCACATTTAACTCAGTTACGTGTCGGCTTTTCTTCCACCGGTGCAGAGGGATTCCTCAAAAAGGATGGCGGAGCCCCTGTGGGCTCTCTGGGCTGGCTGTTGGGGAGCACTGCCAGCCAGCCAGCCTTCCCGCTGTGCTGAGCCAAAGGCACGTGCCAGTCTTCTCCCAGCTGGTAACGCACGTGGAACTGGGCGAGTTCTATGTGTCTGTAAGAGTATTTAAAATTCTTTGTCTGTGTATACTATATGTTTAAATTCAGTGTATAGCTATATACACATGTATTAAAAAGTATGTAAAATACATACGTACAAAGGTGTGTGTTTATGTGCTGTTATATTTATATGTTTATATCCTAAAGTTTGAGCTGTTGGTTTCTTCTCCAACGATTGCCAATAGAAAAGATATTTTTTCCTAAACATCACGTGCGTTGGTGCAACTGCTGATGCACCAGTTAGTAGAGGCCTAATTCTGCCTAGCATCCTTGTTAATATGGATAAATAGTTGTTAGTCAAGAAAAAAATAATTAACTTACATATACAAATGTAACAAGGACATGGTTTTCTAGTTCTTTTAATTTCAAGTAAAGTTCACTTTGCTTTGTAGCACATGAATCTTGGATTAATCAGTAACATCTCTGATGTTCAGAAATCTGGAACTATCCCCAACAGACCTCAGGAAAAACCATCTTAATTAATGCTTAAACTGGAGGTTTTCATCCATCTTTCCCCATTTATCAAGTTATCTTGCATCTATTTTCAGATGCTGAGCAGATGCTAAGTAGGTTATTCAGTTTGTAAACACAGATAATTATACATTGGGATGTTTTCGTTGTGTTGTAAGTACATGAGCCATTTTTTATACTAGGTAATGAATGCTCCTGTTTTTCTTGATGCTAGGTTGCTTCATCTGCTATATCCAGACTGATTGTTATAGATATTTATGTTTTTCCTTGCTGTCTTTACTAAAAAAAAAGTACTTTCATATTTTTTTAAATATTTCATGTGAATGTCTGTGTTTAAACACTGTTAAACTAGGCATTTTCAAACTAAACTACAACTGTTAAGGACCCATGGCTGGTTTTTGAATTCTGTTTTCTGCTGAAGGATTACTTGTGTAAGTAGCCGTGTAGAGTGTGTCCAGCTGCTAAGAAAGGGACTGTTTACATAAGTAAGAATTTACAGAATATGGCCCAAAACCAGCTGTAGATGCTGTGGGAGATTATCTGATGCTAACCTTTACCTCAGCGCTAGATCATTTCAGGTAATTAGGTTTGCAGAACCCGGTAACTCTTCAGCACTTCATGGCTTTCTGGCTAAGGGATGTATGTTTGGAGCTCAGCCACGTTCCGTCTCTAAAAGATGTTCTGGTTGCCCGTCGTGGACGGTGACAGAAGCCTTCCAACCGTGTATTTGCTCCTTAGTGGGCTCACCAGTAGGTAAATTATGTCTTCCATAAGGATCTTGAGCATCACAAGCTGCAAACACCCTTTCTGCCAGGGTCCAGAGCAGAAATCCTTCTTGTTTCCAACTTGGAAAATGTTAATATTCATGAAAACGAGAAACTAACTGTACTGACAAGATGGGATTATTTAGGGTATAGAATGAACATATCACTTTTATTCTCATCTCGGTTTTGGCAGGCAGCTCTTCAAAGAGATGTTCAAAATATTTGTGTAATTGTTAATTAGGTTTATTAAGTTGTGGTACCACAGATTTTAGAAGAAAAGGGAGAAATGCTAAAGCTACAGATATAAACACAGTTGTTTGGAGGGTATTTCTGGATTTTGCTGCCGTGTGTGTTTTGTGTCTGTATTGGAGCAGCCAAGGAAAGGAGCGCAGCGTGTTGACAGTGCTGTCTGCTTGGCACAGGGCGGCTGGTTGCCCAACCCATGCCCTTTGTAGAGAGTCGGGCAGTGTCAGAGTGGGGCAATCGGAGCGCCTCATCGGCCTGTCTCTGCAATCACCGTGAATTTCTGCTCCACAGATTAATTTACTTTCCCTGCTGCCCACCCCCCCGCCTTGTTTGTTTGTTTTTCAGTTAGCCTGGGCTGGAACGGATTTAATGCAGGCAAAAGGCTGCTAATAGAGTTCTCTGAATGGCTAAATGTTTCTTTCTGTGGCGTATGGTTTAGGATGAGGCTTTCATCAACTTTCTCGTTGCCAGATCAAATGGGATTCTAGCATGGCAGGTGAACTTCTTCATCTGTGTACCTAAATACATATTTATAAGTGCTGTTTCCACAAAGGATATAGGTAATTTCCACTCAGTATCTCATCTTTTTGTAAGTAGATTCTGCTGATTAACAGTAATGCCTTATAAATAGTTTCCTCGTGACCATTCGTTTGAGACCTTCAAAATAACTCAAGACCTTCATCTAAGCAGAAGAGCCTTAAGCTGAAGAAAAAGTATATGTTTTATATAAAATGATACAAGAAACTTGGAAGTAGAGGGAAGGGTGAGAAATAAGACTATTTATCTGGTGTGAGCATGCTATGAGGTACAGGATGGTGAGTCTCAGGTCTCCCTCCTTAGAAGAGTCTGTAGGTAAGCATGAGCAGCACAGCTGATGCTGTGATGTGCCAGGGGATGAATTCAGTATCCACTGAGGCTGCTTCTGACCATTCTTCCTGTGGAAATGGCGAAGCAAATGATACTTGTATAGGTACAGGAAATTTGTAATTTATATAGAGTTATGTTTTATTGGTTGGAGCTGACAGTTCTTTAATGTTTCTGTTGTGAAATATGTAGTTGAGAAATGAAAAAAAATTTCTGTTAATTCAAATCAAGATGAATAAAACACGGTCGGCTGATGCTTTCACTGTGGTGAACACATCTAATTTGTGAAACTGTGCTGAGGATCAGATCAGGTTTTGCTGTTTGATGAACTGCAGTGACAGTTTGAAAGGCAAGCCTGTGCATGCTACCTTTGAGATTTAAACCTACATTTCAGTTTGCGGTGAGACAAGGTACTGAAGAATTCTGATTCTCTTAGGTCCTCGGAAGGTCTCAGGTTAGAACTCTGAACTGTAGCTCTTTAGGAAATTTTAATACAAACCCTAAATTACTTGCCATAGCTATCCCTCTACCCTCCAAACTCGGTGCTAGGGACCTTAGCGTGGGTGATACAGCTGCGGCAGAATTTAATTGGTGAATTGAGAGGAAGCTTTTTAGAAGAGTCTTGCATAGCTTCCCACCTACCTCTGCAAAATGTCTTCAATGAAGTTTAGTTGCAGGGCATAGCCGTTCATTTTCTCCGCCACCACTTAATTAATATTAAAGGTGAAACTGTAATTAGGCTTGAAAATTAGAACTGCTGCATCACCAGCTTAATTTTTCATGACCCATCTCTGAGATGACCTTTCACAGGATCACCTGTAATTTCT